ACATTGGTGAATGCCACAAATTCTCCTAAATCACTCGTACGCACAACTTAAGAACAAATCTGTGCGTACGAACGGTTCTTGCATGAGGCCTAATGTTCAGACAGAAGAGTTGTTCTGAGCCTGAGTACACTGTGAAACTATAGAAATACTTTCTTCACTTGTACACTACATGTGGGAGGTAATTACCACAGCTTCGTCTCATGTGCCATGTCGGCATCACATTTAATCCATTAATAGACTCATTATACGACAGTTGTCTTTGCAGAACTCAGAAACATGCAAGTTTTTTCAGCCGTATTTAAGCTAATTTTCTGTTTCACTTAATAAAGACTGAAAGCAATACGCTGCCTTGTGTTTTTTTTAGCAATTCGAGGCTTTTAGTATTAGAATGGAACAGGAGTGACATAAAGTTTGTCTTATTTTTTGCTAAAAACTTCTGCAAAACAAACTACAGTAAAATATTTTTTTGAATAGCTGTGATCAGTTTGAAAGAGCTGAAATGTTATTTTCTAGATCTTGTAATGCCGCATTTTGTAATAACACCGCAATATGTAATAAATGATGCAAAATGTAGTAAGTCTTTGATGCATTTTGTAATACCTGCAACTGCATTATGTAATAACATTATATTTTGCGGCAATATTTACAAAATATGTTGGTTGTTCTTTTCAGAAATTATAATAAACGATCACAAAGCAGTGTTTTTGTTCATCATAATTAATACACTTGTAATAATGATCATGTAGCAGATACTAATCTTTGAAACTTTGATCAATAAATGCTAAACTTTTTATCAATAAATACTTAACTTTTTATCATTTAGTTGCCTATTCAAGCCAGATATCTCTGTATTAATATAAAGGTCATTCAAGGCAGACGATCACGTTTACAGCTTTTTTTTAACTGATTGGATCTCAGACATATGCGCGGTGTGACACACAAAACCAGCAACGTGGCACCATGCACCTTAACAGTCAGCTCCTGACCAACAAAATGCCACAGAATGTGATGCGCATTAGGGTTGGGCAATATTGGCAAAAAAAATTAATCACGATTAAATGGGGTATTTAGCTGATAACGATTAATTTGACGATTAATCCCCTGGAGTCCCTGGACACCCTTATGTCCTGGTCACATGACCAATTTAGTGGGAAAGATTTGCTCTTCATAAAAATCTGTTCCAAATTCTGTCAAAGTTACAGACTTCAGGCTACACATCAAATTTATATTGTGTTGATAGATAAATAAATTACACAACTTTTATTTTTAAATGTTTGTCATATTTGAAGCAGAGAGGAGCAGCGAGCGGACTCTGCCTGGCAGCATTAAATGTATTAATCAAGTGCCAAAAATAATCGATTAATGTTTTTCTGACAATTAACTGCACAAGAAACGATTATGCCCGACCCTAATGCACATGGCACAAAAAAAATTTAAATAAAAAAGCACATCTGTGTCACRCGAGCCCAACGTGCACAAAACCACACACAATGTCCTGATTTTGACATATTCAAATTACAAAAAAAATAAAAAGACTAACGTTATTCAATAGCTGAATTTGCAAGTGTTAGATAATGCCTCCTTATTTCTTTGCAGGAGGAGKAGGAGAGATGCAAGAAAGGCATGAGGAAGCAGCATCAGCTGTCAATCACAACGCGCCGCTGCTACTGTGTTTACAAAATAAATAAATTAACACTGGGCAGAAAAATTGATTTGATTTATGCAGAATGCAATGGAAACTGTGTCGAAGACACAAAAATGCAGCAAAACAAAGACTGGGAAGTGGGTGGCATCAGTGAAAATAATTTTTAATTTGTTTCATGAAGATGAACAGAACATGAATCGACACCGACTGTAAATGTAATTCATACAAGAAAGATGCCTGTCAGTCTGTGGRCACAATCTGCTCAAACTCAGATGACTGAAAAAACTGATCAGTCAGTAAAAGGCGCCTCACGACAGCTTGTTTTAGAACACTGGTACATCCCACAAAGGCATGAGCTGCAGCCTCACTTACAATTCACATTTCAATAAAGCTGACTTTTAGATATCTTCTGGGAGTAGTCTGTAAAGTGGAATAATTTTGGTATAGCGATCAGGACAGTAAAGCTGAATAGGCATCTAAATGATAAAACATTTTCTATTAATTGAGCAAAGTTTTAAAAATTTAAATGTGTACTATGCAACATGATTACATCATTATTACAAGTGTATTATTTAGGATAAACAAAAACCCTGGTTTGTAATCGTTTATTATATTGTTACATTATAATTTCTAAAAAGAGCAACCACCGCAATTTGTAACAATTGCCGCAAAATGAAATACTGTTATTACATAATGAGACTGCGAGAATTACAAAATGTGTTCTTTTTATTACATTTTGCATAATGCCGTTTTAGTGCAGTTTTATTATACTTTGAAGCCCGATTTTATTACATTATTACATAATGCGGCATTACAAACCTCATCTATAATTTTCGGTGATGTAATGAATGGGTTTAAGACTGATTTTAGATTTTAAAAATTCCTCCTTTCGCATATCCTAATTTATATT